TTTTTTCAAATTCTAGAGCGCCTTTTGAGCCCAGTGCGAAAAGACTTACAATGATTATTTCCAAATGCATGCTTGCAAAATGCAAGTTTGTGAATCTATATTCAACTTGGTTTTTTTCTCAAATTGGCAGCAAATTGCTAGATCAATAAAGCTGTGGCGCATTGATGAAAAGTCATCAATTTTCAAAATAAACTCTAAAGGTCAATATTGGCGCTCTTTTTTGTTTCTTTTTGTGACCAGTTTCAATGATTGAATTTTTATATGATGTCTAACTTTTGTTGCGCTGCAAGATTGTAAAATTGCGACTAACGGATAAAAATTGCTCTGCCCCCTCCCCCTCCCCCTGTCAATTTTTCAAAAAAAAATGTCGCATATTCAGATGACTGAATGTAAGAGAATTACTCACAAATTGACATTGCTCATCAAAACTTCAGAATTTTTAAACAAAATTATAACAAAAAAAAATGTTTCTATTGTGAATGATTGTAAATTATATATTCTCTTCACATCGCTCAATGCTTTTGTTAACATACGTCTGAATTTTTCTAGTACGATTTTACTACTACAAAAAATTTGCGACAAACGTCATTCATCAATAACGTGGATGGTGAAAAAAGCGCTGAAATAAATCAAAATAAAAATCGGTAAAAACAGGGATCTGATTGCCCGAAAAACTCTTTTTTAAGATAAAAATGTACATCATTTATCGGATTAATTAACTTTTATTTTGACTGAGGGTTATTTTGTCCCGAGATTTATGCATTAATTAGCCAAAAAGGGGAATAAATCTACAAAAAAAAACGAAATCAAGAGCAGGACTAAGGCTTATTATGTGTTCGGCAATTTCGACTTTTTACCTATTGTTGTCCTAAAGTTTTCATCGGTGCTCGTTTTTCGTAGCTATTGGGGATTAAGGGCTGCCAATTTGGCCTAAATAGGGACAATTAACGTGCAGTATGTTTTTATGCTATTAACGCGTCAGCGAAGATTTAATCCGTCTAAAAAACCGTTTCAAAAAGAATTGAGGCGAGTTATTTGCCCTATGTAATAGTTCGCTATAAGCGAAATAGGCTCTTTTTCCTTCCCCCCCCCCACCAGCAAAATTTTATTAGTAAAATTTTGTTCACAACATTGGATTGTTACAAAAATTGGTATGCGGACTAATTAGGCTTTAACAAACATATTTGGTCTCCATACTTAACCTTGTAAAACTCCCCGTTACAACATAAAATTTGTGTATATGTGAGGTGAGGGGGAAAGGAAAAATAGCCGCGAAATAGATCGATTTATACTTTAAACAGCGATTGGGGGATGAGTTGAAATTTTTTAAAAAAAATGATGAAATTTAGTTCTTTTTTAAATATCACCCAGACCTCAAATTGTGGTCGGAACATTCCGGGCTTTGCTTTGTTACAAGCAGTGTTGTTTCCTTGGAATGCAAATATTTGCACCACCTTGCAAAGGAAGGCAAATCTACCGAGAACTCTGCCAGATTTGTATTCGTCATCCAAAATGCCCAAGAATGATCTTATCAGGGAAAAACCCTGATTGTTGCGACTGCATTTTAGTTTCTAAATAGAAGTTTAAAATAAAATTTTCTTGGAAATTGAAAAAAAAAAAAGAAAAATTCAAAAAATTATTATGAGTTTGAAAATCTTCCAGCAAAACGATAAGTGAAGTACAAATTGATATTTTTATTTAATATATTTTGCATTCACCAAGTATTAAATAGACCAAAAAGCATTCCTCAATCCAGTGTGGATCAATTTCTAAGACAACCAAATAAAGGTTTACGCGTTTATGTTCCGAACTATGTGTGTGTATGTGGCTGGGGCCCTTCTATTGATTGGGAGGCACCGTGAGGTGCCCTGCGAGCCTCACGAAGCTCAGAATTTTGTCAAGGTTTGACTGGAGGGTTGTGATCGGTGGATAGCCGTCCCCCATGGTGATTCTTCTTGCTGATTCCCATGAAACACATGATGTAACGAAGTGTCCACTGATTCCTCTTCTTGGTTGCAATTCTCGCAGATTGGGCCCGGAACAAGGCCGAACCTGTGTTGAGTCTGGCAGAGGAAGCGGGCTCTGTTGGTTCTCAGCCTGTGCAGCGTTATTTCTTCTTCTCTGCTTCTGTTGACTGAGTGCGGCAAAGGTCTTCCTTCGGTGGCTCTTCGGTGAGTTGATGTTTTGGGTGTCAATTCTTCATAGATTCGTCGGTGTTTCTCCTCTCTGTTTGCAACAATTTGCTCGAACAAGCTACCTCCTTCCGGGACTTCGTTCAGCCGTCTTTTTTGCAGTGCTGCGCCAGTCAAACCGGTGAGAACCTTCGACCCTGGATTTCAGCCGGGGCCGGGGTTAGCTCTTTCAGGTGGTGGTCGTCGGGGAACCTGGAGTATCTGCCGAGTAGGAGCGCTGCTTTTTCTTCCACCTCTATCCTGATCGGTGTTAGGTTTGCTTCTATAACCGCAGCTGCCGAAGGGGTGCCCGGGGCGTACCAGTGATCAGCCTGGTTGCTCTGTTGTTGGCTGTCTCAAGCGTCTGGAGCTCTGTCTTCGAGAGAAACGGACCCCAGACTTCCAGATCGTACAGACCACCGGGCTTCGCGTAGGCCTTGTAGAGTGGTGACAAGTCGATTGCAAGGACGCCCCAGTCTTTGCCTGCTAGTGCTTGGAGGATTTGAGTCCTTTTGTTGATCTTTTTCGCTATCTCCGACTCATGCTTCTTAAATGACATCTGTGTGTCCAGGTGTACTTCAAGATGCTTGATTTCTTTGTTGTTCTGGATCGGAGTGCCCAGGAAACTCAGGCCTTTCGACGCTTTCTCAGCTGTTTCCCGTGGGTCAAGGGAAACGACAGGTGGCGCGGTCTTCTCAGTAGAGAGAAGAGCTTCATAATCTGCTGACCACTTCTCCACTTCCCGGAGAGTAGGGGCGAGGCGAACTGCTGCTTCTGCTACTGTCCTGCCAGACGCCGAGATGGTAAAGTCGTCTGCGAATTGGTCTGCCTATACTCGTGGTGATGAGCTGCAGATCCTTTTCGGCAGCTTAGCGGTGGCGACGCAAAAAAAGAAGAGGAGAGAGAGGGCTCCCTTGAGGTACCCCTTCCTTGAACGTCCTGAAGCGGCTGATGGTGTTGTCCCAACGGACTGCCGCCTTTCTGTCAGCAACAAAAGCTCGAAGCCAGCGGAGAGCAGTTGGGTGGATCTTGAGGCGGGCGAGGTCGCGGAGGAGGCCGTTTTTCCAAACTCTGTCGAAAGCCGCTTTCAGATCGACCGTTCCATGAAAATGGCATGAAAATGGCGTTCGAAGGCCTTCTGAGCAATGTTCGCCAGGACGTCGGTCGTCATTTTGCCCGTCTGGAATCCTGCTTGCTGGGGAGGAATGGCTTTGATGTCGCTGGCCCACTTCTTGAGCCTTATTTTGATGAGGCTCTCCATGACCTATGTCGCGCGTTATTTTTCCCAAATTGGCGAAATTGGTAAGTTTAAACCCCGATAACTATACGAAAAGGATCAGAGGCAATTTTTTTCTAGATTTGAACTCAGGACAATAATAACTTTTAAACAATTTAAAAATTAAGTCAAAAACTGCTAGTTAAAATGTCGAAATTTGTCTGTAGAAAAAAATCGAGCTCGAAAATTTCTTCATTTGCTTCAAACTTTGTCAGAACAAAAATATTGCCAGAATCAACTGATATATTAATTCATCGCAAGTATTTTACACTTTTTTCAAACTAAATTTTCAGTCTACCCAAATAATAATTTTTCAAAATTGATAAATATGCATTTATTTACTTCATTGATTTTAAAGCGCGATCTTTATGCTCTTTATCACATTATTTAATTTGTAATTGTTTTTTATTCGAATTGAGTGTAAATTTTGCAGAAAATGTTCAAGAGAGGTTACCTTGTGCGGCGCACGTTCGGCAATACTTTCAAATCGTATTCAACGACCTCTTCTGATTTTATAACATCTGTCTCCTCGACTCTCGTGCCAACAAAAAACCACATTTCTTCATTTTTGTGTCTATTTTTTGCAGGTGTCCCCAAAAAAGAAACCAAAAAAATTATGTTTTAATTACCCAATTTTAGCGGCTACTACACAACGTGTGTTAGGCAGCTAGATATGCGAGCAAAATTTACAAAAGAATCGACCCAGTAGTTGTCGAAATATTCAATTTTGGATCCTTATTTGGGACGCCCTGTGTTTATACTTTAGATCAGGGGCAGATCTAAGTTTTTTGTCGAGGGGGGGGGGGGGGGCAGATTTTCAAACATTTTTTGAAAATTTTGTCGACCTTTTTTTTAGGTCGACCGAAATGATTTTTTGAGCTCTCCCTAAGCACGGTTTAATCCCTGTATTGGCCAAATTTTCTGCATCGCAGGCAAAATTTTGTAAAAACAGTCCAAAAAAGGCGCTTTTAGGCACTTTTTGGAAAATTTTGACCGCGCGTGCTTCCTTCTCAAAATTAGTATATAAGGCGCCTTTAGAAAAATATTGGTGTCGGTCGGCCAAAAATGGATTTCTGAAAAAGTACCAAAGGAATCCCTGAAGGAGAGAGCGTCCGCCGCCCCGCGCCCCCTCCCCTAAATCCGCCTCTGCTGTGGATAACCTTTGAAAAATTGCAGTCAAGCCAGATCTGTCAAAACATGGATCTGTGTTCAAATCGAGTTAATCAGATCTGACTGATTCCATAAAATTATTACTTATTAGTCTATGTTAATATAAATTAAACAGTAATATGATTAATAAGTAATAGTATAACAGTTTCACAGTTTTTCAGCAGTCAGATCTCGTCAAATTGCTTTGTTTTTGTTTTTAGTTAATTGCGACTGCTCAAACTTAATTTATATCTATTTCTTTTCAGATCTTTTTAACAATCCCATTCCTTCTATAGTACATACCAAAAAAAATTATTTTTTTTTTCTTTTCAAAAGTTGACGCGTTCATGTTTGGTGAGTTGGCGAATTGTTGAAATGATTTGCTATTTTTTCGTCTGTTCTAGGAAGCCGCTGTATTACACCGTGTACCTCATAATCCCCCTCATCATCACGTCCCTCCTGACAGTCTGCACTTTCTACCTGCCCTCCGCCTGCTGCGAGAGAATCACGCTGGCCATGACCATCCTACTCAGCACAGCCATGCTACTTCTCATGGTCTCAAAGCTCATACCCAAGGTGGGGCTGAAATGTGTAATTATGGGACAAGGGGGAGGGGAGGGGAGGGGAGGGGAGGGGAGGGGAGGGGAGTTTTGAAGTTTCCCGCAAAAGCAAAACTAAGATTTCAATCGATTAAAATCATTGGTTTTTTGTTACCATTTTCTACTAGTTGAAAACTTAGTGTATGTAATTTAACTCAAGTAAATATTTAAATTGAAAATTTAGGCGGGATTATGGAATTAGTTTAGGAAATTTTTACTTGATATAGACATAATTGAATGTGTGAGTTTATAGAGATTTTCCGCTGTAAACTTAAATATTTGTTTCCTGCCTTTTTAAATCATAATAACTTAGTTAATATCAGAGCCGGATTTAGGGGTGGCGGGAGGGGGAGGGCAGACGCCTCCCCCCCCCCCCCCCCCCCTCAGGGATTCGACCCCTTGCCGACCCTTTTTCAGAAATCCATTTTTGGCCGACCGCATGATAGAAAACAGCATGATAGAAAAAAGACACTTTCTGCTGCGAACAAATTATGAGTCAAAACTAGTATCTCGGATTTTTCCTTAGTCAAAACTATTTTACATTCCAATTGAGCCTTTCCTCATGCTGAGTCAAAATTGTTTAGCGTCTCCTGATTAATTTGACTAAGAAATGTAAGTAAAAAAGGCCTCAAATTGAGCCTGCATTTTAATTTACATTGAGCTGTTATGCCAACAGCTTTCCAAGAAGCAAAAAAATCGAAAAACCCATACTCAATTTATAACAGGAGCTCAAAAAATCAATTATACGAGTTTTGCAAGATTTTTGCAAGACTGTGCAAAATTTGAACATTCCACACTCTCACTTGAAAGCTATTAGAATGAGTTTAAATTTCTTAAGTTGTAGCGCTGATTTTCTACGGATCATTCCTGAAATAACTCTGAAATATCGCAAGTTTACTTATGCAAAAACTCTGAATTATACATGAATCAGCGCTGGAAAATAGCGATCACTGGGATGCTACAGAAAAAGTGATAATTAATGGTGGGACTTCAACCCGGGCATACAATTACGAAACTGTACAAAAATTTAGGCACTGTAGTTTTCTATAGTTACTATTTGAAAGAATGCGAGCGCCATTTGTTCATATTTTGGAATTGTATAATTAGCGGGTTTACAAAAACTATCGCAGTTTTTTTAATCATTTTTTCTTTTTTTTCTAGTATTTTTTTGTTTGATATCAAACACAAAATTTATGGATATTAACAACACTCAGGTCAGAACAAAAATTGAAAAATTGTACAAGCCTTATGGGGTTGTGTTTTTTTAGGGTTGAGCTTAGATTGTGCAATGAAGCAAACTTATGGCAAAATCATTCAAATTCGTATCATTGGCGCATATCTTTCTGCTGCTTTTGATTCGCTGCTGGTAACTTTTGCGTGGTTTCTGAATTTTAGCTAACCAGCGTATTTGTTACCAGTGTATTGAATAAAAACTACATTTAGGTCAATGAAATCAAAAAACCTGAAACGGCGAGTTTTTTTTCATCAATTTTTGTTGGTAACTTGTCTACGCTAAGGACAAAAATTGAGTTTGTTATCAGTACGTTATGTTTGAGTACAGAATTAACTTTGCGATATACAAATTTGAAATAAACATTTGGAACAATTTTGAAGTTTAATTACTACATAACTTTTTTGCCATAAAAAGGTTAGTTATACAATTCCATATCATGCATGAAATTCGTCTAAGCACCTTTTTTCCAGAAAAAAAATCAAGCTTCTGCATCTTTAGGTCTTGAAAATATGTTTGCAGATCCTTAATTTTACTAAGCAATCTTGACAAATTTACATGAAGAACATGGGATTCTTTAATTTTTGTTTGAGAAAAAACAAATTATTTCAGGATGAAAAAAATGTCCGATATTCATACAAATTATTAATGGGAGTTGCATGACTAGCGTTTTTAATTTGAGGAGTTTGATCAGCAAACCTAAGTTTGAAAGTCTCGAGCTGGGTTACAATAGGACAAAAAATGCCCGATGACAAAAATATGATTGGAGTCATTTTCAACAAATTACCAAAATGTTGAATAAGCTGAAGGTTTTTTATTTTGCTAAATGGAACCAAAATTTTACCTTTATGCCTCGTCATTTTTGGCTCAAAAGTTCATTTCAACAAACAAAATTACCCAGAGACTATTGGGTTCAGTTTGTAGTCAAACATACTGTAAGCACATTTTTTTATTTTGCTTTTTGCATTTGATTCCTTGAAGAAGTACTTTGCAAAATACTACTGGTTTTCAAATCAAATCTAGTTATAATACTTTGATAAAAATTAAATCAGTTTATGTTTTTTCTTTTTTTTGTCAAAAACTTTCCCAATATTTAAAAATGAGTGTATTTTTTTTTGTTTTTATGTTATCCGAACAAAATCATTACCTGGGACAAAGTTGCACTTTGCAAACGCAAGGGAGAAAAAATCCAACCAACTGTCTAATGTCAAAATGAAAAAATTGAAACTTTTTATTATTTTGCTCCTCTAAGCACTCGTTTCTTAGTGGAGTACAGAGTAACATACTTTTGTCTAATTAAGCAACATGACTGCTCGTATCACGGCAAAGCCTTGATTGTGCAGACTGTCCTTTAAGGTTTATGGAGCAGTGTTCGCTGAGAAAAAATTGAGGAATTTTTCACGAAAAAGAAAAAAGTTTCAAAGTTTTTTTGAGATTCTTTTTAAAAATCATCCCCCATACGCCATATAAAAAACAGAGTGAAAAATTTTGCCCATAAAAGCAAAAAATTTACCAATATTTTGCAAAAATTTCTAAGACGAACTAAACTTCCGCTTACGCGTTAGTAGCACGAAAAATTTCCCGTGTGAATTGTCTCAGATTGTCCATATGAGCATTATGTAAACCCCTATAACTTTACAAAAAAATGATCATAAGTAGAAATTCTTTTTAAATTTGATCTCAAGACAACAATTGTTTTCGGGTGATATAAAAGGTCTGTCAAAAACCGCTAGTTAAAAAGTCTCGAATTGTCTGGAGGAAAATATTTCGTCACTTTCTTCGAAAGTCCGAACAATAATGAGACCAAGTAGCTAGCTTCAATTTCAATTGGAAGGTTTTTGAGCCGGCTTCTTTTTCTGCCTGAAATAAGAATTAGTTGAAACTGCCAATACTGTGCAAAAATGATCACAGATGAATACTTTTGATTTCAAAGTCAATACAGCAAAATATTTTTGATGAAATTAGAACTACAAAAACCTGTATTAATATCCTTTGCCTCGATTCTCATTTAGCGCTAGGTTATACGCAAAAACTATAACAAAACTAACACAAAATTTGAACACAAAATTGTGCGACTTCTGTTGATCAGCAACAAATTGTCGAAAGTTGCTGATCAGCTCAACAATTTGTTTACTTGAGATTCAACTTTGAGTTCAACTTTTTCGAATTTGTTTTCGATTGTTTTTGGTTTTGTTTTCGACTGTTTCCGAGTACATATTTTTGGTCGAAAACTGTCCCCGTTTTGGTTTTATTCTGTTGACCCCAAAGCTGAACAACTTAGCCCGAGTTATTGAAGTTCACTTGAACATCCCAAAAAGTTGAGCTTTTCACTTCATAGAGAAATGGTCAATTAAATCCATTCAAGCTAAATCGTGTTCACCCTTTTTAGGCGTTTTCTAATTATTGGAAGTTTTTGGACTCATTTCTTATGTTTTTACGGTGACGATTTCTTGAGTAATTCGATAAGTTATTTGAAGACTTAATTACAAAGACGAGGGAAAGGATTGGTTTTGTTTAATGTAATGACGCAGAAGAACCTCCTACATTAGTGAAATTGATCTTTGCGGATCATTTAGTTTAATGGGTTTTATTCGCGTCAATTTTTAGGCATATTCGCTTTTACTTAAAGGATATTACAAAATAGAAGTATTTTCAGAAAATGTTATTTTTTCCAGAGGTAAAACATGTATATACGGGATCTTGTTAACTAGTTCCCCTATGGTACCTTGTAATGAATGCCCCCCCCCCCCCATAAAAAAGAATTGAACAGTAAAGCATATACGAAACGAATTTTGTACCTTGTTAACATTTTCCTTGCAATAGGGGGAAAATAGTTATCAGCATCAGCGGATTTAGGTAGACGGGTGGGTGGGGGTTGCCTACTTAAAGGTTCCCGTTTGTACTAATTTGAAATATCAATTTTTGGCAGACGGACCCTAAACTTTTACTAAAGGTGCCTTCGGAGCCAATATATACTAATTTTTTTTTTTGGGGGGGGGGGGGGGGGGGGAGCGCGCGTCGAAAAACGCGATTGCTTGGTCAAAATTTTCTAAAAACTGCCTAAAAAATTGGCTTTTCGGCCTAGATTCGCGCCTGGTTAACAAGATCCTATATACAATGCAGCATTTGAGAAAATTTGTTCTAAATACTGGGATTACAATAACTCATAACTCAAGTTTTTATCTTTAAATTAGATATGTTTTGGGAAGGAAGAGTTATTTTTATTTCAAAGGTGAACATTAGGATCAATTTATCTCAAGATAGCTTTGAAGTGTGCTTGCGTTTTAATAATATAGTCTGAGCCTCTAACGGGGGTTTTGAAAGGGCTGTCCAACTTCAAAACAGAGCTGATTTTTTAATGAGCGCTGTTGAAATGATTAATGGGGGATCATGAACAACTATGATACTTTAGCGAAGTCATAGAGCAAAATCAAGGGTTCATTTTTTTAAATGAACAACTCGACCTTGTTTATTTTTCAAAGTACGTGAATGTCCCTTTTTTACCAAATAGACAAAATGTATTTGACCTACTAATCCTGTAACGCTCTGACCAATAAGCCGACCACTCAATTAGCATTGTAGCATTTTATTCAGAATCAGAATGTTTATAACCTATAAAACCAGAGACGGATCTAGGATTTTCTAAAACTTTCAAAAAATTTGTCGACCTTTTTTTTAGGCCGACTAAATAGATTTTTTGAGCTCTCTCCCCGTCTCCCAAAGCACAAAAAATCCCTTTTGTACCAAAAATGAAGATAATAATACCTGAAAATTTCAATTTACGCTAGCAAAAAAAGAGGCTTTTTTTCTTACAACATAAGTTGAACATAAGCTTGTTCGAAGTCTACTTTTTTGCAATGAGACCTTGTAACCCCCCCTCCCCCTCCCTCCCCCTCTCATGATAATTTGTATAAAAACTACTAAAATTTCGACAGTTAAGCGTGTACAGATTATGTACCGTCTAACGGATTATCAATATTCTTGGGCTGTTTCAGAGTGCGTACCACGTGCCGCTTCTCAACCGATATCTGGTGTTCATCTTCAGTATAGTCGTGGCCTCTCTAATGTGTAACGCCTTCATTCTTCACGTCCATTTCCAGGCGTGTTCAGGGGCCACTGCGTCTGTCAAACTGCCACGCCCCTTCAAACACTTTTTACTATACACACTGCCTTTGTGGATATTCATGGAGCCGTTCCAGTAAGTAAAATATTACAAACAACTTGTCATGGCCTAAGAATTTTAAGGCCTATAACTTTGATTACTTACCACAATTCAGTTTGAAAATTCGAAAGAAATGAGGTTGAAAATTAGTCAATAGAGGAAATTTCGAAGCATGTTGACTGATTGAAGTTTGTCTATCAGTTTTGAGCCCCTAGTAGAATAAAAGTCACAAATTGATTTTTTGTGTTTTTGCAACTCGGTTTGATAAAATTTTAGTTAGAGTTGGGTATGAAAATTCTAGTATTAATTACAAATTTCTAAATTTTACACCTCAGCATCGTAAAAAAAGTAATTCATTTAGAAAAAAACCGTTCAAGGTGTCAAACTATTGTAATATTACCATCGCAGTGACTTTCAAAACCAAAACTTTTTAGATTTGGTTTAATTTTCAAACCTTACGAGTGGTCGCTTTTCTTAAATTTTTTAACTAGTCGCCTTTTGTAGCGAGTTGTTGCGGTAATGGGTGAAAGACAGGGGGTATCATAGGTCTTCAATGTGTATCTTGATAATATAGTGGTAATGTGAGCTCATTGATTTTCAAATAGACTTTTGACATTTGAATAATTTGTTCAGCTTGTGCATACATGAAAACCGATTTGAAATCTTTGCAACTACACCTGCTTTGAGTGCTTTGACCTTCGCCGAGAAATATTTTGTTTCTTCAAATTTTGATCAAAAGTCAGACCGCATATTTTATTACCTTTTTAAATTTCAATCAATTTATTTATTTCAACTTCGAATTTCACTTTCCACTAACTTTTGTTATAATCTGCGGGTCAGTTAAAGCAAAACAGTGAATGACATTTCACGGAACTCTAAACTGGAACGTGTTAAGTTAAAGGAAACAAATAAGATTTTGTTGATAGTTGCTGATATTTTATTATTAGTTCTATCTCACTTTCCCCGAATAATGTTTTAGATTAACAGACTGCGAGTTCACGGCCTTAGTCGAGGAAAAACAGTCCAAAAATCTGCGAAGACGTGAACGAAAACAAGTTGGAGAGAAATTGTGTTTCTGGAACAATCTGGAAACTTCTTTTCACGAATTAATGCTTTTTATTCCCAATAGCGACGATCAACTCTTCGATTCTTTAAACAACTCACTATCTAACAATGAACAAACTTCGGACCAACAGTTAAATAATGAGAGAAAGCAAAAAAGAATTCTTAAAACTCTGGAAAGCATCAAAACTTTGGGCAACACAGTCGAAAGCATCCACGATAAAATCAAAGTGGAAAGAAGACAATTTTACCAAGACGAAGAATGGAAGTTCATTGCTTTGGTTTTAGATCGGATCTTGCTGTGGCTTTTTAGCTCAGTTGTTGGATTTGGATCCGTTGCTATTTTAAACCCAAATTTGTACACAGTTTAGCTTAATTTAGACCTTTTCGAGTAATTTAAAATTTTCAATTCCATTTTTTTCAACTGATTTTACCAAATATCCTGCTGGCTGACAAATTTTTAACATATAGATTATTTTTCCTAAATTAAAATTTCATTTTTTTCTTTAGCGAAGCTTGTTATGGCTTACGCGTGGGGAGGTGCAATCCGGCAATGAGTCGATTTATTCAAAGATCGATGAACTGAATTGAACGGGTTCTCCCAGTGCGAAGCAAATTTTAGTGCGTTTAAGGTATATCCTCAACACCAAATTTGAAGACCAATCATCAACTCCTCTGATGGTTTTTGAAAAATGAAGTAATTGCTGGGTTTTTCGAACTAAACTTTCAAATATAATGTTTTTTTTTTCATTCTCATGTTCGATTTTACATACTAAAGCTAACGAGAAAAGTAAAACTGGCGTACATCTGCGCGTAGGTTCTGATTTCTTAGACCCATAAATTTTTGTTTGATTCCCAAACACGACTTTTTCTAAAACTTCTACTCAATCAAAACTAATAACTTTAATAGTAATTAAAATCCAATAAATTTTCAGTTGGTTTTGAAAAATCAAGCTGCCTGTTAGATTTACGTAGATGAACATGTTATAGGTAGTCAAAAAATATTTCAAGAAGCTAGCGCCGTGTAAATCGGTATATTAAGATTTTCAAACAAGTCCACGCTCAAAAAATTACTTGCAAAAATCAGGCGCGGATCTAGGTTTTTTTAGTTCGACCAAATTGATTTTGTGAGCTTTCCGAAACCGCTATAAAGACCCAAATTTGACCGTTTTTAGGCACTTTTTGGTAAACTTTGACCAAAAAATCGCGTTTTTTCGGCGCGCGCGCCCACCTCAAAATTTGTTTAGATTGGCGTCTAAGGCGCCTTTAGAAAAATTTTAAGGTCAGTCAGCCAAGAATGGATATCTCAAAATAGTACAAAAGGGGGACCCTTTGGGTCGGCAGGGGGTTATAGAAAACGAAAATGTAATCTTTTCTAGTTTACACGGTGTACTTGAGCATTTTCTTGCTTTAAATTTGATTTGATTATAAATTATTTGGTTGCACGTGTTTGGTAATTCAGTTTTGCATTTTCCCAATTTTGTATTTGCTGAGTTCTGGTTTTCAATTTTTTTCCCGGAGTTTTCCTGATTACATGTGAAAAGTTGAAGTCATCTAAGATGAATGTCAATTGTCAAATTGGCATGTAACACTCGTCCCTATTCTGCAGTTGCAAAATAAATGAAGAAAAAAGGGGTGGGGTAGTTCCTACTTATAAAACTTAAAACGCTGGCTTAACGGTCGTGTAAGTGTCAGCTGAAGTTATCGGCTATGGCTGTCTGCGCAAGGCTGCTTTAGAGTGAGGCTCTCGTTGTCGTGAATCTTCGTTTGCAGGTTGATTGCAATAGTCCGGACTAACAGGTGCTAGTCTAATGGCTGGTATTGACACAATTTTGTCACTTACTTTGATGGTGTAAACGCGGGTCTGGTCATCATCGGTTGGTTTGTTTCCTGTGATCCGTCCAATTGGCCAAAGTCCTCGTAGCGTCATATCCTGAAGAATCCAGACAATTTCTCCTATTTTGACAGGCGGCGTCTTCTTTGTCCATTGTTGTCTTGGCAGTAGTGCTGGAATGAATTCCTTCATCAAGCGTTTCCAAATATGCGTTGAAAGTTGTTGGGCAAATTTCCATTGTCGACCTAGTGTTGACGGCTGTTGGGTTTGTAGAGGTGGCATGGTGGCATGCGCTCTTCCGAGAAGAAAATGATTTGATGTGAGGGCTTCAACGTCTTCGGGCGATGATCAAACTGTAGTGATGGGTCTTGCGTTCATGAAGTGTTCAACTTCGCAAAGAACGGTGTTGAATATATCGTCTGTTAGAATCTGGCTTCCTATGATGGCATAGAATGAGTCTTTGACTGATTTTATGAGTCGTTCCCAGACACCTCCGAAATGAGGAGCATAGGCAGGGTTGAAGGTCCATTCAATCTGATGGTTGGCGTAGAATTGTCGTGTAACATCGGCGTCGAAGTGTCTGTTGAGTTCTTTTTTGGCTGCGGTGAATTTTGTACTGTTGTCAAAAACAGTTTTTGCTGGTTGTCCTCTGCGTGCGAAGAATCGTCTTAAGGTATTTTTGAAGGCGTCGGCTGATTGGTCCTGGCACATCTCAAGATGTACGGTTCGTGTTGTTAGGTCAGTCATTATAACGCCGTAGCGTTTGTTGTAGTTTCCTGCGGTTTTCGAAGCAAATGGTCCAAAAAGATCTAATCCTGTTTGTTGAAACGGGAAGGGTTTATCTTCTGGAAATTTGAAGGCGGGTAGGGGCGGAATTTCCGGCTGCAGTCCAGTTGCCTGTTGTCGTCGGCAGTCGTAACAGTTTTTTATGATCTTGTCAATGTGTGCGCGAACACAGAGAATCCAATACTCATTTTGAAGAATGTTTTTTAAGTGCTGGCGTGGCGAATGCTGGTTGTCTTTGTGGGTTTGTCCTATAAAGAGGTGAACTGCTGGGTGGTTTCCATCAAGGATAAATGGGTGTTTTATGCAATAGTCCAGTTGAGATTTCTCGAGGCGTCCACGTGCTCGCAAGATTCCGTCTTTGTCTAGAAATGGTGACAGATGTCGAAATCTAATAGTTGTGTTGATTGGTTTATTTTGTGTCAATGCGTTGACCTCTGGGTTGAAGCTGTCTTGTTGCGTCTGCTTGAAGATGAAACTCTTCGCGGCAATCATGTTGCTGCTTGTTAGTTCGGTTGTTGGGCTTTTGTTGCGGGAGTGTAGTCATTTATCTTTAAAAATCCTGGCGGCACGTATCACGTATGTGGTTGTTCGGAGAATTCTTATCCATTTGGAGAAACTGCTGTAGTCGATGAAACTTTGTACTGTCCTTGCGGTGGTAGCTTGAAAAGCTAGCACTGGGGTTGTTGCTATTTCATCCAGGTGTCCAGTTCGATCTTTGAGTTGCAAGGTATCCGTATTGGCGTCATTTAACTGTAACTTTGGCCAGTTGCATTCTGGTTCACATATAAATTTTAGTCCGGTGAACCATCTAGACTTGTTATTGAATTCCGATAGGGGTATTCCACGGGTTCCGTCGTCTGCTGGGTTTAGGGGTCCTGGGCAATGTTTCCATCGACTCGTTTGGGTTCTTTCCAAATTTTATGCAACTCTGTGAGCCACAAAAATTTGTTGTCGTTTAGCAGATCCCTGTATCAATTGAAGCACTGTTGTGCTGTCGGTCCACATATGCGTAGAGCTGATGTCAATCCTTTGTTCTCTGCGATTGAATTTTGCGAGGCTAGCACCAAAAACTGCGGCTTGTAGTTCCAGTTTAGTTATAGTGCTGTTTCAGAGGAGCCACTCGAGCTTTTCCTAGAACAAGGGCGCTGCTGATTTGGCGAGTGGCACTGTTGCTGTATACAAAATAAGCGACTGCTGCGAGGGAGCTGTAGGAGGCATCTGAAAAAACATGAAGAGCGATGTTGTCGTAGCTGTATCCAAAATCTTGTCGAAGAATTTCCACTGTGTGTAGATCGTTTCTCTCGTCGAGACGCTCAAAAAGTTCAAGTGCCATTTCTAGTGTAATTTGGTCGTCCCACTTCATTCGTTTTCTCCAAATTGCTTGCTGGATTATTCGTAGTCGAATAATAATAGGTGCTGCTATTCCAATTGGGTCAAAGATTGAAGAAGCTGCGCGAAGTAGGTTCCGTTGTGTAGGTTTCTTCTGGGCGAGTTCGTGTAATTTGTCAGTAGTGAGACTGAGCGTATCGTTACTTACTCTCCATCTTATTCCGAGAATTCGCTTGAAGACTTTGGGGTCCTTGATTTCGTCATTGGTGATGGATCTATGTTCTTTTGGTATTGTTTGCAGAATAACTCTGATCCATAGTGATCCACTTCGTCAGGTTGAAGCTTCTTTGTTGTAGTACGTGAGGTTTTCTATGATTTTCACAGCAGTGTCAATGCCGTTGGTGGCTTCGAAGAAGTCGTCCATGTAGAAGTTCTCGTAGACAAGTTTTTTGATGTGGAGAGGGCTTTCAGCCTTGTCTTCTGCGCAAGTTCTTAATGCGTAAATTGCACAAGTAGGAGAAGATTTGGCTCCAAAGACGAATCGAATGTACTCGAAAAATTTGGGTTCTCCCGTCCCCAGAGGAAACGAAGAAATTTTTTGTCTTCCGGGTTAACAGAAACCTGCATGTACATTTCTTCAATGTCGGCAGTGATGGGATGCTTTTGTTTACGAAATCGGGTACTTACTTCTAGTAGATTGCAGAGCAAGTCAGGTCCAGTGAGAAGCATATCATTCAGACAAATTCTTTTAACTTTGGATTTGGCATTAGAAACACGGCGAAGTTTTCCTGGCTTGTTTGGATTCATTACGCCATGTTCAAGTAAAATCCATCCTGTCGAAGGTATTTCGTCTGGCTCTAATTTCCTTATGTAGTGCTTGCTGAGATCATGGTCAATTGTATTCTGGTAGAGAGCCAACTTTTCTGAATTCTTGTTGAGTTGATTTTTTTTCATCCGGTTGTATTGGGCAGTTTCTGCTTTATAGTTGTTGGGAAGATTTGCATTTGGTTTCCACAGAAGTCCAAGTTGATAGCGGTTGTCGTATAATGATATGCTTTTCGAAGTGTTTGCATAGCGTGTCTTTCGTGCGATGACATCGTTATTTCAGGTGATGTGGCATAGGTTTCCATTCGCGAGAATGAAGCGAGAAGATTCGAGATTTGTGTGTCGTCAGTTGACATCTGTATTGGGTTGGCTGTTGCTCGGTGGCTTGAGATGTATCCAATATCGTTGTTCGGTCCTGCTATTGTCTATCCTAGGGCTGTAAGGACTGCTCGAGGAACGTTTTGATTTCCTTTGATGATGGTTTTCGGGCTGATGATTCCAATATTGTCCGTTCCAATCACAAGGGCTACGTCGTTGTTGTTGAAGTCTGGAAAACATATATCCTTAAGGTGATCGTATTGGCTGCATATGTCGTTCAACTTTTCGGGCTCCGCTGCATTCAAGTTGATGTTCTTTTTGATTAAAACATTAGTTAGTTCAAACGCTAAAGTGTTATTTCCAAATGAATGAACTGTAATATCAACTGTCTTAGCCTCTATCGTTTGCGAGTTGAAGAAACCTCCAATGAGAAGTCGTTCCTGATGGTTAATATCCTCCAGTTGACGGTATGCTGATGTCGGTTGCGATATGTAGCTGTTTGTACTTCCTGTATCAAGAAAGTCGTATACATTAAGGTATATGTTGCGGTCTCGTAATGTTAAAAGGTAAAAGTAGCAGCAGTGAGCTGTTGATTCTTGATATCCTCTTTTGGCTGGCAAAATGGTTGACTTGATTCGGTCGCTGGTTTGGATTAAACTTTGGTGTTCTTTGTGTTCGTTGTTCGTCGTGTAGAGTTGTGTGATAATGCTGATTGCATTTGCTGCATGTGTGCTTTGATGGGCAGTCTTTCACTTGATGTTGGCCAAAGCAGTTGTAACAAAGTTTCTTTTCCGAAACGAGTCTCTTGTTCTCTCCCAAAGATGAATTCCTATACTTGATGCAGTATGCTGGGTGGTGATTTTGTCCGTCGAAGGGACATGGCGGTCGGGCGTTCGCACTCCAATTTTGAGAAGTCTTCTGTGAAGGCTGGTTGGGTGATGGTCGAGATCCGTTGGCGTGTCGAAGTCTTGTCGTTATTTGTTGTCGATCGCTCGAGTCCAGGGTCATTTGCTGCGGTTGCATAGGTGGTAAGCGATCGCATGCTAATGCAAACGGTCTTATCCAGTCGTTGAAGGCGATGAGATTAGGCTGGTCGATGTTCTGGGCGGTGATGTACTGTGTCCACTGAAGCTGCTGATGGTGTTGCAATCTGCTGACGCAAATTGTACGTATATTGTAGAGTTCAAATCGTCTCTGAACCCAATCGTCCGAAACGTTTCAACCATGTTTCTGATGAATGTGGAAAATTCCAAGGACGAATCCCTGCGTCGAGTTGATGGTTGCTTGAAGCTCTGTAGTCTGTTGATGAAGTCATTGATGATGATGTCGGGTCGACCATATCGTCGCTGTAGTTCATGAAGGGCAGCGTTGTACTTAGTGTTTTTGCAGGAGTAACTAAAATTAGCTTGATTTGCTTTTACAGTCGTTAAAATCTGCAGATGAGTCATCTTTTTGGCGTCCGAGATGAGTTGATTGTGGATTGTTGCTTCAAAGAGTCCGAACCACATGCTCAATTTCATACGATTTCCGTCAAAAGGCTCGATTTTTACTTTTGGGGGTCTAGTCATGAGACTGTAGTTTGATCGCGACTGTCCGTTACTTGATGTCTGAGAACCTGCTGCTGGAATGAACTGCTGTTCTGTAACTATGTTGAAGCTGAGACTTGCGTTGGTGGTGTCGTGTTCTGTTTGTTGAGGCGGTGGTCTGTTTATTTTGAAACCTGTCTGGGAATCTCGGCCATCTGAAGAGTTCTGTTCCTGAGCTGATGATCCGGGCTGATGGCTGCTGCTGGATAATGTTGACGTCTGGCTAGAGTCCCTAACTAGTATTGGCTGTTGTTGCACTGGATCAGCTGTGTGGGGGCTTGAACTGTGGTGGCATTAGTGTTCTGCTGTTGTGGAGTTGACTCTGCTGTATTTTCTTGTAGCATCTGTCTAAGTTCATCCATGATGTCTTCGTGTTCAGTGAAGCGGTTGATGAGCTCATCCGCAGTGGCGTACTCAGTCGTGTGGTCTACAAGGTACGTAGTAGCGTCTTCCGAATTGCTGAGAATTTTCTTCATCTGGGTTTCTGAGTCAGCTATGTTGTAGTTCGTTTTGATGTCACTGATGGCTTTTCGTACTCCTCTGACGAGGCGCTCTAGTTGGGCGATGAGAATAGTTCTCTGGGGGAGAGTGGTTTTGTTGGGCGTGGCTAGTTTGTCGTAGCTGATCGTTGTTGTCGTTGCAGTTGTTGTAGATGTCGTATCCAGTCGTAGTTTCGACCTATTTTGGTAGTTACTGTCCTAGGTAGCTAGACCTAAACTTAAAAGGAGCGAAGCAAAAGAACAATGGTGCGGTAAATATGTTTTCAACTAATCATAACGAAATAAAATAAGCAATTGAAAGTTACAAATGCTTGATAGTAGTTCGTTGCGATACTTAAACAGGCGGAAAGTAATATAAACCAAACGTAAAGTTAACGTCCCTTTACCAAAGTTAAGCTATGGGGGGTCCGATTTGTTTAACCGATTTTTTAAAAAATCTTAAGCAACTGCAAAACGAGTGTTTCTTGGTTGATCTCAATTTCATCTTCAAAACTGATCACTATGACGTCTCAAGCGTTCATTAGGTCAAATGCCTGCATCCATTGCTTTTGCTCGTCAGACAGTCTCGCCCCTGTTTTGACTTTTTGCATTTTCACTTCTGACCCTGTATATTTGCATGATGAGAGATTAGGGCTTAATCTCACATTTTTGGCTAGCTTCCGCGTCAGGATTGTTTCTCGCACGTGGGTAATGTTTCTGGACACTTCAATTTAAACTAAATGGAGTTCCTACAAGTGCTTAAATTACAATTTCAGCATGGAATCGACAATGCTTATATGTATAACCAGAAAATCAACGCAGCCCGGAACCAAGGAAAAAACCAAATGCGACTCTAGAAGCGTTTCACTTCCACGAGTAAAGAGTAAAGAGCTTAAGCTCAAAACCCATGCTCAAAATTTTACCAAAAAAAAAATGGTGGCTCAGGGGCGGATTT